GAGATCCACACCCAGCCACAACAAAGAAACAACACAAAAGCCAACAAAGTAAAAAGCACGATGTAAACTAAAAACCCCATTCCCTTCAGTACTCATGTATGCAACCTCAAACCTATCTGTTCCACTACGTACAGTGCTGATGATATATGCATCTCAGGTCATTGTGTGTCCACACTCTGTGCGGGAGTGCTGAAATTGAGCGAATTATGCAAGTTCTTCAGTGCTGTATTTACCGATACAAACAACACAAATGACCGCAGAGACGCATATCTATATCTATTGGGCAAATCCCATCATAACCAATTAAAATTATTCAATCTCTGTTGTTAGGCGAAATAACGTCATTCAGTTCCCATTGGACACACTACATAACTTCTCCAGAAAGTCCAAGTGTGGATGAACATAAGGGTAATACCGCCAAACTGGGCAAAGTGAACAACTTGAAGCTTGCGTGAAACTAGAACAGCGAAGAGAAGCCAGCTGGCAAATATACTGCACACAAGGTACTTAATTATTATTAATCCTGCTTTCCGTGTCATTTGTCGCACTCGTTCACTACCGTTTGTACGGCGCAGGCGCTCGCTACTCGAACATTGGATACCCCTTCTGCAATCAGACGCGGTTCTTTCGGGCTTTAGCTATGACATGACCTCGGATGAAGAAACCCAATAACACACCCCGAGGGACCATCAACGATCAAGGCGGGATGATAAACAGGTAAACAAATAGCACACTCAGTACAGTTAGAAGGGATCAAAATCAGAAAGAAAAACACAAATAATTTATCCAGAATCGTAATGGCCAGTTGATGAACCTATCAAAAACGAGCTTGTGTCGACTACCGAACTTCTTTTATCATAATAATAACAATATAAATTAAGTGTGTCAGAAACATTTGCAACTGAATAACAAGAGTCATTGAAGCATCCATAAATCAATCAATAAATACAATCAATTTGAACGAGAGTTTCATTGAGCAACGAGAGGGCAGAGTTCGTGCTTAATTCAAATCATTGTATTTTTGTACTTTATTCTGACAATTTCGATTGGTACTTTGCTTTCCGAAAGTACATTATTAGTGTCAAATTGCTTCGTTCCAAGCCAACAAAACCTCTGTTACGAGGGTGACCGTGCACAACCCATGAAGGACTTGCGCATATAAATGCGTAAGAACTAAATGGACAAGATAAAAAGTGATGTCAAGTCACGGAAAAGAAGATGAGCCGAAAATCCCAACATTCTAAGAAAGACGAAAATGTTGGCACCATCGAACTAACCGTCGGGATTTACGTTCGGGAGCAAGATAAACTGATCCAATTTAGCAAATTCAATTCGGCCCAAATGCCTCAATAAGAAGTGGGAAACTACCATTTTCATATAAATGATAACAAAACCGAAAGCAAATGTGTTGGAAACCTTCATTGTTTAGTGTCCCATACAATGATAAATTCTATACCGTTGATAAAATCCCTTCATAGGTATAAATATTTACATACGAGGTTCCCGGGACGGGACGAGACAAACGAAAACGTTTCCATGAAAAATGGGACAGTGAGGGTCTCAGGTGCGTTATCAAAGCCGTGAAAAGGAGCCTCATTTTAGAGTCACTCAGGCCTGTCTGCTTGGAACGGTAAAAAGTGACACACGTGGGAATAAAATCAGTTTATTGTTTGACCGGGTGGGAGTGCAATTTAATACATTATAGATTCAATAACGCATCTATCAATCTACCAATCACTCTGCAGGATATAAAAAATCCCTTTACATGGCACGTAAACAGATGCGGACAGTTTCGGCCACACACGTGAATCAGGCCAAAAAATGTCCACTGTGCCCCGCGGACAATTTCCGTGAAAGACGAGAACAACAACAGATGTTTCACATGTTGTCAAACCTAAAAAGGTGCTACGAATGACGTTTGGGGCAATCAAACAAACTTTGGTCAAAATAGGTAACGGTTCACACACCCCTCAGAGGTGATTCACTTGGGATAATCAAAACATGTGTCAACTACGGACGAGGTGGGTAAATGCTGTATTGCGCTCACCTTGGTTAAACCGGAAGCCTTGAATAGTTCTCTGGGACTGCGACTGTTTGTGGCACTCTGATTGGGAAATCGAAGGCTTATCAGACGACAATACACCTTATTTCGCATCTAAAAGTAAAAATGATTTCGTTATATTAATGTTTTATTTACTAATGCCAATGTATGTTTATGTAGAAATAATAAACAGAGGACAACTATGCCACTTTTTGTTGACATGGCAATGAAGCCGGAATACCAAAGAGGAAGAAACGCTATTGTGGAGAAACATGAAGACGATGTAGGCATTTAGTGTGTACGTGCAAGAAAGTGCACGCAAGACGAGTGCAGTACAATATTTCAGAACGGCAATTCAAGTCATAGAATTACACGCAATTCGATTTAAAATTGGCCACTGTAATCACGCATGAAAATTTATGTATCTCTTAGGAATCGTCACATATGATGTGTTTTCAGGCATGTCTTCAGTTGATTATGGACATATAAGTATATGCTGCTGGATGAATACATAACCTTATATAAGCTGAAATTACATTTTTCCGAAAATAATTAGTCAAAATGAGGTACAATAAAAGAAAATACTTAAAAAGAGCACTTTAAACTTACCTGTATGTCGAAATTGAACAAGTAATTTAAATTGTTCACTAGAAATATTTCGATCGCTGATCGACGGAGATTATAGCGACGGAGATGAATCTCTCGAATTTTCGCTAGTCTCCACGAAAAAGTGGCTACCCTACGATCTGTGGGAAAGAAAAATATATTAGAGATTCGAGGAATTCAACCAACCCGTTCAAACATTGCAAATATATCGATGAATCTGCCATATACATCACTTGTAACAACTAATTTACGGAACTACTAATGAGTAGGCAAAGACAACTTAAGATTTTCGTTGGCAGCGTTGTCTTCGGAGTAATTCACATGATAAAATACAATACCCCCATTTGGGCTAAAATGGAAACAATGGTGTTAAATCATTCTCAATCAAAATAAAAATACATGTAAAGTAATGTTTCTTAGTTGATATTTAGTTCATTACAGAAAAACGATGTCATATGGGTCAGGCAACTGAGAAACGAATACCGTCCAGAAGCGGATAGTTTAGATGGAAGGGTGTGGTGAAGTTCGCTGCGGAGCATCATTTCTGTTTCTATATTTTGCTTGTAAATGTTGTAATCTGTTTTTTTAATATTTCAAACCAGAGGTTAATATATTCTGGACCTTAAACAAAAACCCATTACTCACCAAATTCGATACCACGGTATATACAAACTTTTACATTCTCGGGGGGATTGAAACAGATTATATTGTTTAAACATAACTAAATACACCTTAGAAATGAACTTAAAGAGATCAAAAGTTTGTTTAGGCAATAAAGAAACACTCATAAATTACGGCCTACTTCAAATACCGACAAAATCGACGGAATTGTTAACGGTTTTGTTTCTCTATGGGCTTAAAGAAATAGCATGTACAAGAATTACAGATTAAAAATTCCGTTACTGACCTGTAAAGCTGTCATTCGAATCGTGTGAGAACGGTGCGGATGATAAGCTAGCCAAACTGGGTCTCTTCTTGGGATCGAGAAAACCAACAAATCGAATCATACTATGCGTCACAATAAAAGTGCCTTCTATCACATCCAAAGGTGTTATCATTTGGGCTTGGCACCGTAAAAGCCCACTTTTGCCCTGAAGGAATGTTCCTCCGCCTCCATCAGATGTTGCCGCGATTGCTTGAGGTCTCATGGTCATAGGTGTCATCACTTGCGAACGCCTGGAAAGTGGGTGTTGATATTGCAGTTTGTACAGATCCTGTGAACTCGATCCCCAGCTTCCTTTCCCCTTTTCGATAGAAAAGCTCTGTCGAGGATTTTGTATATTACTCAGATTCAGCTTTTCGAGACCTTTCTCCGTAGCTACTTTTCGTCGACTGCAATGAAACATAAACAAAAATCCCATAAATATGGAACTCCGGGATTCCAGAGTTTAAGGCGTATAATGGTAATATTAACTCACTCTGCCAAGGACAATCTCCTCGCATCAGTATCTCGCTTTGACTCTTCCGAGTCAGAGTGTTGACTACTGTCCATTACGTAACCGAATTTTGAATCATTAGAAGGATCGTCCAGCGTTTTATCCTCAGATTTTGAAGAATCATTCGGGATCCCCTTTGTGATTTCATCGTCAGGATCAGCAAAATTATTCCATTCAGTTTCGGCAACTTGGTCTTCACTTAACTCTGTTGTGTTAGTAGTACATCTTGCGAGTAAAGCCTCGACCACTTTGCCATCCACATGCGTAACCGAGGACTTCGACCGCGACGGGGTCTCAACAATCAGTGTTGCTTCTTTTCCAGATAAACTACTAGTGGATATCCGCACCACAGTGGTTCGTCTACTGCGAACCGTCAATTCTTCTACGGTTGTTTCCAGTCCACCAAAACGAACTGGATTTTCATCCCCAATGTTTCCAGCCAGTCTAGAGAGAACTTCGCTAACTGAAAATGTTCTGCTATAGGCGTTGGGTGGTTCATAAATTGTAGTTTTGAGGCTGGGCTCAAGCAATGGCCGCATTCGACAGCTGGTTTCCAGCGGGGTTAGACACCATCGATGAACAGTCACAAATCTGAGTAAATGGATTGAAACAAATATATTCATACTTAACACCAATCTTTACAGATACGGTAAGAGCATCCAGTGAAATTTCTAGTTACTATTAAGAACAAAACTGGCCATAACAATGCAAAATGCAAAACAAAGTACACGATGGATAGGGATTGAGCCTGACTGGAGGAAGGCAAAGCAGGTAAACCACGATGGTCAACGCAGAGTGCACAACCTGACGGTGCGTACATAAATACATACGCATTCTAGCAACATAAGAGATGATGATAAAAAGAACGCGGCTACCGTCGGTTGGTTGCCATATCCTCTAGACTCTCAAAACAACCAACTGCTGAGTCTTTTGGACTCCAAACTGAAAGACGGAAGATACCTATTCTGCCTAAACCCTCTGTGCATTTTGTCGTGCCTTATTTTATTGGCATCTGTTGGCATCTAAGTGACTTTCTTCAATCTGGAACGGTAACTGCAAATAAGGCGTGATGGAGCAGACGATAGCTGGTCACGCACAATACATGCGCTAAACAGTAAAGCCAGCTAATCTGAATTCAACGCGATAACGAATTCCTCACCGAATCATTGCTTAATATGCGGAGGCTTAAATCGGACTTCCTCACATGCTTGCTCCACCCAAACCGCACCAAACTACGTTAACATCGACAATCAACACGTCTAGACGATGACAATCTTCCAAGCGCAAATTAAGAGCCTCGCAACTATAAAATAGAATTGACCGCACACTGGCGCCCTATACACGACCTTTCACCGAAGGCGTTTCAGTCGTGCGTATGCTGTTCGTTCCTTGGAAATGCGGGTGGTTACTTCCTTGACTATACTACCGTCATTTACCACACAGGTACCTACATAGAAAAAGAAATTCACTATGACTAATTCTTGACCATCAATCATCGGAGCCGGGCTAGACGACACCCGGTCTTGTAGCATCACTTTGCACTTTGAAAGTGCAGAGGTTCGGAACTGGAAAATTTATCAAGTGCGCGTTACGATTACATACGTTCAAACAGAAAAACGATATCTTCAGTGTACTCCACATCGAACAGCTATCCTCCATTTTAGAGCCCACTTGGTGTGTTCTCCAGTATTTCGTTGCAGACGAAATTGAATAGGATTGGCGGAACAGAGCATATATGACAGACATCGCTACTGGTTTCGAATAATTCCCTTAGCCCAACGTAGCCCCTAACACCACAGTGATATCAATAGAGTTGCATATGATCGCGGCACTCAAATGCGAAGCAGAGAAGGGTCCTTCTTGGTCAAGGAAAACTGCGATTGTTGGTCGAAGATGTGTGACCTAATTCGAGGATTTGAGGCATAATGAAGATTTGGTCGATGCAACCGTGACCTGGTCGGTATCCTGCTGGCTGTTCGCGAATATTCATGTTTTTCGAGAGTGGCAGGAGGTGAGGTATCACAGGTGTTAACATTTTTATGATAATCAGAACTAAACTTATCCCACGGTCGTTTACGTGGTCTCTTCTCGAAGATGGAACGACCAACGGCTAACTCCAGGATAGAAGAAAATACTCTTCCGACCAAATGCTGTAAAGTAAACTAGTAACCGAATCGACGAGAGGGTCATCCTCGAATCCAAAGGACAGAGAGTAGCCCATCAAGCCCCGCTATCTTTCCTTTCTTCAGCGATTGAATACAACCTCCGACTTCTAGTTCTGCCACTGTGAACAGAGTTACCACTGCAATCACTGGAATAACCACATTATCATCAGGCGAACTGAGCTGTTCACAAAAATATTCGGCCAAGCGACCAGGTCGTTGTTCGTTACTATGGCTACTCTGCCCAGTTTTATCGCAAATGCTTTTACTGATTGGTATGCGATGACCTCCGAGGCTGTGTACCAGATGAAACAGTCTTTGGCTATNCCTCCATTCCGTTAACTATTTTGGTCCACCAGTTTTCGCGACCTTTCCTTGTCCGGAGCTGACGTTTGTTCTCTCAGGACTCCTGACTCCTGAGAGGTCCAATGACTCGGACGAACTTTGGGACACGAACAACAAACGAAGTTTACTGTCACATGCACATTTAATTCGATCCCGATTTCGATCTACTCCGCCAGGTTGCTGTGCTCCTAGCTCCTGCCCAAGCGTCACCTCTTAGGCTATGCAAATACCTGGATCGGGCATACGATGGTGAGCGCTAACTGAGGGGGCAATTTTTGCCTAGGACCGATGG